GATTTCACATATGCTATACCAGACCTGGCTTTTAGATTGATCCCTATATATTTCAGAGCAATTCAGGCCCGGATTTTATTTTCAACAAGAATTCTTTGTCAAATTCAGTAATGGTGTTTTCCCCCGTTTCACTGTTTCGCGGAAAAGGCAATATTTTCCTACGTTCTGATCTTACTGAAAATCACGTCACCTTACTTGACCTTACTTCAGTCCAGTCACTGAGTATTTTCGACTTTGTTTTCTGATTTTCATTAATTCGAAGAAGATGCTTCTTTAGGAACCAGATGAAGCCTTTTCGTTCCACTGTTGCTCAACTGATTGTATTTTTAAGCAGGCAATAGAATCCTTTGTTTTCCTTCATTCTGCATTGTGGGAACTTTGCAGTCAATCACAAATAAAACATGTTTTAGCGCCCAAGTTGTTGTCGCTATGTTATAAAAGAATTAGTTCATGCTTTAGAGAGCACTCAAGAAGCTAGAGTTGCTCTCCTAGAGTTGGTCTCGACTATCGCCTCGAACAACTTCTGCGCTTCTCTCGGGCTTTCCAAGCCTCCCGCGTGAAGCTACTCGATATACGCACATATACGCACACTACTCGATACGCATACTACTCGATATACGCACACTACTCGATATACGCACACTAAGCATGAACATATTCTATAATCTATACCATATGTCAAGCATGAAATATACTAGCTTTGGAAAAGATAAAAAGCTTACATATGGAAATATCTCCCGGCATTAATTCGTTATACATGGCCCCAAACAACCGAATACAGCAGTAAGACTATAGCTTTGGTAACTCGAAAGTTCAGTTCAATGTAGCGATCCTAACGGAATATTGCCAATATGACAGCCTGTCCTCGGTATTTTTTCCATCCAATTATTTCCAAATTGGACAGCATGTAGTCCTATTTCATATACAAATTGGACAGTTTCTGCGTTTTTACTCAAAGTCCTTATTGAAAACTGTCCAAATTAAATGCCAAATTGGACAGTTTTCAGAAATTTAAGGATAATAGCTGTGCTGACAATGCTGGATTAACTGACTGCTGTATAATTAAAACAGGAAAATGGGAAACAAAAGTAACACAAAAAGTTTTTTATACCGCTGGGAAAATTAGAAAGAAAAAAGAAAACATAATAACGATTATTTTGGTTGCTATCGCGTTTATGATATTATTTAAGCAGTGAAGACAATTTTTACCTTTTCTTTGACATATACGGGAGGCGCGGTGGCCTCATTGTTAGTGCGCTCGTNNNNGGGGGAGTAGAAATACTCCTAGTCGCTTCATGCTACAGAAACCGGGATAAGCTCCGGCCTGATGGGCCACTTGGCTCGCATGCAGACTTTACCTTTCTTTACCTTTTCTTTTTGACATATACATGTAATAACATAAAGTATATAGGCACAATAGTCCCGGTTTTATACTAAAACAGTTTATGAAGTTAAAAAAGAGTCATAAGTTTTGCAGCTTGCGCGCAAAATTAACTCGCTCAATCGCGTGTTTTATGCAAATATGGCACTCATTTCATTTCTCCTTTTAAATGTGTTCCCGCTTAAGAGGTATTCGTAGGCTTAAGTGCTTTCTTACTTCTAACGGAACGGGGCCTTTAGAACTTCATTAAGAAGGACAGTTCGAACGTATTAAATTTCAGCTAAATGAGTATAATGACAGTATTACGAATTACGCTTTTTTGGGGGCAAAATGTTTATCTTCGAGCAAAGTTATTAGAAAATCGAAAACCAAATATGTCACAAAAAGTACATATTTATTTATTTCATTATTGAATATTTTGAATTATATTCTTAAAACACACGTTCGCTTCGTTCTTACTCCCTCTAAGAAATATAACACAAAATTAAAATGATTTCAAGGCTGACACCAGTTTGGCGCGAGATACATGCATTTACACTAGCTGGAAGATGCATGAGGCTAAACTTATGCTGCGTTGTGTTTTCTGTATTACATATTCTCAGAATGTTTTTGTTGCTCTTTTAAATATTGAGCAGATGTTGCGAGGAATTTCAATTTTATTCAAACACCATGGCGTTTTCAGAAAAAAGTAGCAATCCAAGCTAGGAAAGGTACACTACAGTTTTTTCTTCTATTTTCTTGTTTAATAACGCCAAAAAAGATATACCTGAAGATTGAATATGAATGTTTTGCTTGGTATGATATCGACGAGAAATTCATTTGACTTAATTACGTTCTCCATGTTCTGTCGAAAGTCAAAAGTAATATCTTGAAACTGACCGCCGATCGTTCACTGAAACGGACCTCGTTCAATGTGCATTTCCCTTCAAGTGCGAAGTTTGTTGTGGATATTTTCATGCATGTCTCCGTGTAGGACAATAGAGAGGTTAAGCATGACGTTTACGGCAAACGGCAAACGGCAAAAATGAAACTTTTGTCGTCTCTCTTCGGCTGTGTGTACAGTAGAGTGAAATTATTTGTATTTGCAATGAATACTAGTAGAGACGTTATTCCATTTTTGTGTGCTTTATTTACGGATTAGAAGAAAAGAACTGAAAATCAGAAGTTGTCTTTGCCGTTTGCCGTGTGCCGTTAACGTCATGCCTAACCTCTCTACTGTTCCGGTCCACTTCAGCCCGCAATATCAATGAGATTATGTGGTGGGATAATAACGTAACGTTCGTTGGGTGGAAAACGTCTAAAATATGCACTGCACACCTAAAATTCTGAACTCGTAAAAACTGAAAAATTTCAGCGTAAAAACAACGTTTCTTTGAAAAGCCATATTGCGTTTTTGGTTCAGCTATGTTATGTTTGTTTGGGTCTTCAACCGGGATCGCAACTTACAATAACGTGATCGCCCCGTCAGATTATTACGAGCCGGGATTACTGTATTAACTGTGTTCAACGAGAACAGGTTCGGGCCTTGCTCGTTCTAGACAAAGAACAAACAGAGCGAGGTATTCAGTTGCTAAGTGAGAGCATAGTTAATAAAGGGGAATGGTTTTGAAACCCGACAAAGTTCTTTGTTGTATGTTTTTGTTCGCTTTTTTGGCCTTGACCGTGCACAAAACACAATAGTTGTTTACTCCGTACGAAGGAACTGACCAATAAAAACGTTTTGGTTACGTAATTCATGCATAGTTCATGAGCGCAAAACAAAAGATTGTGCACGGTCGTGGGCCTTCCAACGTAAATCTTGAAATCTATGTTAGCTCCTTTGATGTTTGCCGGGCTTCATAGCCAGTCCCCTCTATTAACTATGGTGAGAGAAAAAGCAATAACAAAATTGATCTATCACTGATCAAATTGATTAAAAATGTTACAGAACGCTTTCGTTAAAATGTTAACTACTAATTTTCCCGCCTAGGTGCTAAGAGTTTTCATGGTCAATATTAGTTTACGTTTGGTTTAATTTCTCGAGAAGGGCTGCCGATAGGTCATTTTAATAAGAGACACAATATGATCAGTTACTATTTCACATGTGGCTTTCCAATTTCGTTTGGCTAGAACTATTTGCTGGGAGATCAGTGAATGTTAAACTTAACTAACTTTTTTTAAGGTCCCTACATGGTCGCCGCGTAGATTCATTTCGGTTGGGGATTAAAGTTTCTCCAAATTAACTCCTTGTCCTTCGATGAAAGTTGAATTCAGTAAGGACAACATCAGAGCCTTTTTAGCTAAATATAGCAACTTGTAGACCTGGAAAATCCCAATCTTTTAATTTCTTAACCTATATGCATCCTAAGACCAATTTTGTGATCAGCTTTACTTTTCGACACCCCGCCTGACTGCCTTACTTCCGTTTCGTCAAGTCAGGTTCTTAAGGCCAAAGTCTAAATACATTGTAAAACAAAATAAATAAAGTTTTTCCACTTAAGCAGAAGTTAACATTTTCATTGTCGGTTTGGCGCAACTTCACTGAGGACTAACAAAAACAGTGAAAAGTGAACTCCGACTTTGAAGTGAATTCGAAATAAGCGCTATATAAAAGCAATAAAATGAAAGGATTTCATTGTCACAGAGTATCGATTGCAACTATGAAGAAGTAAGACAGAAATATTATGATTAAAAATATTCAAACTGTGTGGTTAAGGGTTTATTTCTGGAGTATCAATCCAGTTTAATTTTTATGACTTTGGAAATAGCCTGTTGTTAGAGCACTTTCAGTTTTCCTATTTTTTCAAGCATTCCACACACGGTCGGTTTTCTATTTAAGGCAAAAAAGACGACTCTGCTAACATGCACTTGAAGAAAAATATTCATCGAATGTTTTTCTCTAAACGTCCAATTAGAAATTATTCAGCTTTTATTATTCTTGGAAAGCTACTGGAATTTTAATGAGTAACCTGCAGATAGCTATCGATTTCTATTCTAAGGCATAACTTTACTTCCTTTCGCGTTTCTTAACATTTCTTTTCTGTCATAGACAGGAGTTTAAATTCCTTCTGCGATTGAACGTCGGTTTTAGCGGGTAATCTTGAATCAAAATTCATCTAAATGACTTGGCTTCCAAAGAAGAACCGACAACTACAATATTTACATTGTTTCCTTGGTTATTCCTGATATTTGTTTCACAATGGTTTTCATCTGTAGTATTTGTTCTCAGCTAATTGACGTCCCTGTAAGTTTTGCCGATTTTATCGCAGTCAAAGTTTTCAGTCCTACTTGACACCCTAAAGTAAGAAATAAGGATGTATAATTACAAGTTTTAGACGCCGCTGTTCTCCTGCAGTAACATGAAAGAGCCTGACAACTGACCTTGTGTTTTGGCTATATTTTGTCTACTAAATTGCCGGCACAACAAAAGAACATAATTTGTTTTGCTTATCTAAAAATGCACATCTGTGCCTCGAAATAATTTTATTTTCCTCCTCCACGCTGAAGTATTTTCCTACGAGCTATGTGATAACAAATTTTAACCAGTCCCACTTTTCATGTGATATGCAAAGTTAATTGATGTGATCGTGTAAAAAAGAAATTCTAGCCTTACTATATATTACCAAAGGTGCTACAAAAACAAAACTAATTGTGAACGTTTTTCACATTTAAATTGCTTTGGGTTGAATCCATTTGCACATCAGGTCATGTCAATATTTCGGTGTTTCTGAGCTCCTGATCATTTCACCTGAGGTTCAGAGGTAAGTGACCTATTTCACCCCGAAGTTGTTTCACGTACACCGCGAATTAGCTCGAATTCGATTAGCCTCACAGTTATCGAGAACGGATTACATTGTCTGATTTGTTTACAGACGGCCTGAAACGCATCGTGGTTTTACTGAGTAGGTTATTTGCAAAGAAAAACTAATGGAAATCTTCATTAACGTTAAAAGTCAGTTTCTGTTTTGGGAAATTCTTCTCATGGAAATGTATCTTTCTCTGTGACGTAAACGCAATTACCTGTCATCTGGAGAGCCGTCTCGTCATATCAAGTGTTATATAACGCATCAACTGCGCTAGAAAATATAAATTGCTTTTCACTTCATCCCGTTAATGTGAATGCAGCTGATAACTTATCCGCCCCAAGTTGCAGCGCACGTGAATTGAATCTCAACAACAACAACTGAGCGGAAGGTGCAAAAATGACTCCAAACTCGACTCTTTACAACATGACGGTAAACACGACTAGCCTTCCACCAAATACTACTCCAGCGGCGACGCCGGACAAGCCAGAGGTGCTCTCTCAACTTTATGTCACTCTCACGACACTCTTCTTCTCGTCTCTCATCGTCGTTGGTTTGACAGGGAACAGTCTGGTCGTGGCGACTCTCTCTCGCTGGCGAGAGATGAGGACACCTTGCAACCTACTTATCGCTAATATCTGCGCTGCTGATTTGGGAGTCTGCCTGCTCGCGGCGCCATTGAGAATCATCGAGATCTACCGCGGCTGGCTTTTCGGCGATGTACTGTGTTATATCTTAGCTCCACTTCAAGATGTCTTCGTTGTCGTGTCCGTTGTCACACAGACTGTAATTGCCCTGGAGAGGCATCGAGCTATAGTGGCACCATTCAAACCGAAAATGACCCTCCACCGCGTCAAGATGGTGATGCCGGGCATCTGGGTTGCCTGCTATGTGACAAGTGGTGTTCCGATGCTAATCTTTCTCAAGAACAAATTGTTCCCCAATGGGTATTTCTTTTGTTTTCCATTTTTCCCCAGTGAAGTTTATAAAATCGCTTATGAGATGTACCTCGTGGTTTTGTTCATTACTCTGCCTCTGGTTCTCCAAAGCGCTGCTTACTTCGATGTCATCCGCGTGCTCAGAGCTAAAAACGAGATGCACTCGAGGTCCTACCAGCCGAACACTTTCATGAAGAAAACTCTCAGCGACAGGGCCAGACAGAAGAAACGGCTGGTCAGAATGCTGATAGTTTTAATGCTGGCTTTCCAAGTTTGTTATCTACCTCGTGGAGTCATCCTGTTGATCCAGGAATTCTCTCCCGAAACGACAGCCAAGCCAGACTTTCTGTACGTGGAACTGATAACGTTAGCGATGTACTACCTCAAACACGTAATTAACCCGATCATATTATCAGCTATGAGTAACGATTTTCGGTCAGGCTGTTTGAGTGTTTGTGCCGCAGATGACTCACATTTAGCGTTCACCCGGGGAAATCGTTATTCGACAGGTCACCGCTGCAACACGAGGGAAAGAAGACTTCAAAGAAATACTACTAGTAGTTCAGAACAAGTGCAAGTTTAGTACTTCTCCGTTTCAAAATGATAACCTTAGATCGACTTGGAAACGTCCTCCGTTTTGGGGAAAAGGCTACTTTGTTTTAGTTGGTTTCAATTCTTTTGGGAAAATGTTATTGAGGAAATTCTCTAATGTCTAAAAATCACTGGAGAGTTGCGAAAAATATAATTCAAAATTTGGTTAAATATGTAAAAAGTACGACCGACCACTGAGTTGTTTTGATTACTTGACGAATTAAGCTTTTAATGAAAAGCGTTTGTGAAGAGGGAAGACTCACGCCATGAACTAGTTGAGCCGAAAATGTTGATCATAACACAAAAGTATCGTGTGACTGGAAAATCATAACGTGATTTTAAATTTTGCCCTACAGCAAGGTCGAGGAATCGAAAGAGATTCATTTACATATTACTTGTTTTCAGTATATCGGGTTGATGTGCTTGAAAAAATAAAAGTAGAGAAAATTTGCATTTATATAATTACCGCATGAAAAAATTAAAAAATAACCTGCTTTTTGGAATGGTTGGCGATAAGGGAAAGAAAGCTTTTTAGTAAAGTAAATAACAGGGATTTAATCTCTCAGCAATGCGTCTGTTCTGAGAAAAAGGAAAGAACTGATTAGATATCAAGATAAACCGGGTAGTTTTAATGTTGAGCAATGCCCTTGTAAAGATTGTATCAATAATTAAATAAAAAACATTTTTAGAAAATAAAGCATTGATCTTTGAAATCAGAAATAGTTAAAATCTTTTGAGCTTTTATTTAATTTGACTGGGAATCAGGTAATACTTAAATACCTCCCAAGCACATTAAAGGATTGCCCCTTATCGCTTTGGAGCCTTGGTTAGAAAGGATAAAGAATTTAGCCGCGACCAGTACAATGGAAGAAAATTCAATCGAACATCAAGGATAGAATTAGACTCTTATTTCAGATTAAAATTCAGCGAGGGCAGAAAGCGAAGCAGAAATGAAAACTCTTGAAATAATTAAATTAAATAAATGGTGCACTGGTCAACTACGATAGTGAAAATAAACAAACATTAAGATCACAACCTGATCGACAGATTTGGTACTAAATCCGAGAGAATGAATTTCCTCTTTCGCAATTTTTAATTCCTTTGTTAAACCGGAAAACTTAACTTCATCGAGAACGTAGTCGTCCAAGTTTGTTACCAGGCGAGCCAGAACTCCGGCGATTTAATTAACTTTTTAAAATTTGTTAACACTATTTTTACCCTGGGGAAGTCATTCATCATTATCTAACCACACTTTCAACTGAACATTTCCCATTTATCTTTTTTAAAAGGTAAATGCGAAAAGAAGATAAATACAAAAAACTTCACGAGTATTAGAATACGAACGGAGAAACAATCAAACACTGTTTCATGTTTAAAAACAGGTTTATAACATTCAATTTTGTTTTGGCTTAGCTGTTGTTTTCACCGTGTTGAAATAAAGCTACAGTAGGGATGTCTAGACCATCGTCTCGTGGTATTTAAAATTATCTACACCCGCAGAAATGAAAATAAATGGTAATCAAGCGACGCTTGTCTGCAGTTTAATGCCTTACATGCCAAGTTTTGCACTAACATCGTAACAAGTCCATTTTTAACTCGTATTTTTTTAAACAATGATTCAAAACCCCCTTTTTTATCAAGATTGTTGCCGCTTAGGATTAATCTTCTTTTTTTTCTCCTTTTGAGCCGTAAAACCTACGGAAAAGATCATCAATAAGTAAATAAATTAAAAGTCTAAGAATTTCTTCAAGGTTGACCGTTTGTGCCATTCAAGTTGTTCATATATGTTTTGGAATAGAAATTGTTTATTATTTTATTATTGATTTTAAGCCTCATAGACTGACTTTATGCATTGATATACTTCGTTGATTGACGACTTACTCTAAAGGTAACAATAATGTTCATAAAAAATTAAATAAGTCAGAAAAGTGATAAAAAATCTGCGGCCTAATGCCGAATATGAAAGGAATGCCTTTGACAGCCCCTTCAGTGAAAACGTCCGTTACTCAAAATTTAGTTCACAAAAATTGACAACAACCATGACAACATATTCGCTATTGAGGCTGGATGCAAAAAGCTTCTAAATCCTTCATTCTAAAACCGATGGTTTTTTAATCTGGGCGATAATTAGTCTTATTATATGGCTAGCTCCGTGAGCGGGCAAGATGAATTAAATCCTGCGCTGTGATTGGCTACCCGAGCGGGCAGATGGAGCTATCATGCCCGCTTGGGACTATCCGCCGTGTCCCGCAAGAAAAATTTCCCCGAAAGCCGTATAATAAATCCTTTATTGACCAAGCTTGTTCAGTCAAGATGGCTCGATATTGGCCTCGGTCTTTTTTTTGCGAGTTTATGGACCTCGACTCCGTCTCGATCCATAAACACGCAAAAAAAGAACTTGGCCAATATCCAGCCATCTTGAACTAACACGTGGTCAATAACCCACATATATTAAGATTTTCAGGAAGTAATGTTGACTATTATTACCTCCTGCGCGTGTGAACAATTGTAAAATCAAAGGTTTCTATAACAACACTTTCGCATAGTAGAATCCGTAATACAAAATTTTTGATATTTTTTTTTATTTGAAGAGGAAGCGATTCCAATACCATACAATATTTTATTCTACTGCCATTCTCAAACTACTTGTATCACGCAGCAAAAATACCTGTTCAGTCACTCTCAAAACATAGGGTAATCATAAAAGTGCAACTTGACAAGCTTCTAAAAAGCCAGTTCAAGCGTCTATGTATGTTTTGTTCTGTCAAAGTCTGGCTCCAGAACACAAAACCATTGAACATGCACTGGTTGAAATCTTGGAGCACCACTTCATTGTAAAGTGAAGTCAACGGTACGGTTAAGAAGCAATAGGTTTTATCATAAACATTGGTTCCGAAAAGGATCCGTTGCTGCGTGGCACACTGTAAAGAGTTCAAGAGTTATCAATAATAATAAATCAGTGCCAAAATAAACTCAGTTATGGAGCATACGTTTCGGGCCTAGCCATTATCGGTGCTAAGTTTTGAATGGAACACATCATCGAAGAAATAAACAATTACGCGCACAACTCTAACGGATAGGTAAGAGCGCGCATGCTTTCAGCTGTTTAAAAAATGAATTCTACATTTAGACAGGCCTTATAGTTTTTATCAGTCTATTCAGCTTCATGGACATTTATTTTGATGCCGCGCACACACAACTTTAAGGCGCTCACGCTTCATTTGTCTGCTGAAAAATTCAGACCGTGAGAACAGTCAAATTTCTTTTAGCTCTTCCTGTTGATTTCATTTTGTTAACTTTTCTAGCGACAACGAATAATTCAGTCACTATTCATTCAAGGTTCAAATTGTCTGAAAACAAGCAAGAGTTTAAATACTGAAGAAGCACTAGCCAAAAACAGCGTCACGATAACTCTCTATTAGCTACAATATCTATCAATAGGCCGCGTTCGATATATCAATATTCCAACATGGCTCCGCGGCTTTCAGGACAAAATTGCAATTTTTTTAAGGTTCTGTTGTCCCTCAATTTCCAAAAGAGACTTGGATACAAAGAAAACACCTCCCTAGTTAAGCGTCCATATAAGTTTACCATATCTCGTTTAATTTGAGAGGGCACAAAAAGGACTTTCTAGAAAAAAGAAAAAAACAGGTTGCCTTCATGGAAACTAATACTGCCTTTGCAACAGTTTTAATCAGTAGAACCTAGCAAAAAAAGTAAAATAATTTAAAAGAAACAAAAATTATGTCAAACCACTCTACCGTTCGAATTTGATGCAGAAAGAAATCATTTGCCTTGATATACGAACAAACGTATCCCGAAAACAGAACAGAAATTGAGAAAACCTGGAATTTATAATGGTAATTGAACTGAGTGGAGTGCAATTTGGTCTGAAAAAAATCGCACCATTGAGAGCCAATCAGATTGCAAGGATAGCCAGTGATTTCAAAATGGATTTAATAAATCACGATATTTCCGAGACCTAACCAGGAGTTATCGCATTAGAGTGACCATGGCAACCTGTCATATGTACAATTTAGGGTCAAGTTTCACGTCCTCAACGAAACGCTGCAAAACCCCGGGGGAAACTCCCATATGAAAAGGTCTGGGATGCTTGTCGGAAAATGTAAGTTAAACCCCTAAAGGAGACCACTCTGGGCGTGGCTCGAGTTTCATTTGACCTCTAAAAGATACCACTTAAAATACAATAGGTTTTGTTGATCCTTTGCGGCCTGCGTTCACAAAAATCGATACTTTTTCCGGCAATGCCGCTGAAGAATTCAGACTTCTCCTTTTCATCGCACGCTGACCAGTTCAGCCATATAACGATAACAAGTAATCGCAAGATTATTCTCGTACAATTTGGAACAAATAAGCAATTATTCATTTTTATAAATCCGGAGGTTGAGTGTTCAAGTCCTGCTCTGACCACTAAGCTAGAGATGTTTCTCGTAGACCCTAGTTCAACTCCTCGGTCATGTTTGTTAATAGCCAACTGGTCTGCCTCCTGCCAGTTGGAATTTTTAACCATTGTTATGTTCATTTGCATTATTTGTTTAATCATTTGGTTTCATTGGCCCTGAAACCCTCATTGGGGGAGTGGTCAATTAAGATATATTATTATCATTATCATTATTATTATTATTATTATTATTATTATTATTATTATAAATTTTTCAAAGATTTTCAAAATAGCACACGCCCGTTGTGCTTATTCATTTAAAATTGTACATGAAAACCTGTTGGATTACGGTACCTATACAAATTAGCATAAAACGTATGCTACACAGGAAGAGCTCGTCCTTTAGGGTTTTTTTTAAAATTTTATTGCAATAACTTACATAACATTACACACAAAAATTACCTACTGCTTACAATGTCAGGTTTTTCCTTCTTGTACTGATCGACCGCTATAACGAGTCTAGTCATGAAGGACACAAAACATCTTTCTCTTTACGACCTTGGAGCAAGAATGCCTGGAGGGAAGGGATACTTCCCGAAATTTTTGGCTGAAGTGTGCAGTGCGAGCCTTACCGTTCTTCAGACCAAATATGCGATACCGTATTTTCGATCTGACCCAAACATCGATACCGTCGAATCTTCAAACCATTATTCAAATCAACGTCTGTTTCAAAGGGACGATGCTACGAAATATTGATCCAGTCAGGCAAAGCTCAGAGTTCAAGTCAAAGAACAGAAATGAGGTTATAATAACGAAAAGAAACTTAAAGTTATTTCACCATCGAGACGAATAGACCATATTCGTATTTTCGATATCGGAATGGCATTAGCTTGCAAATGAAGCCAATGTGGGGAGCTCGAGTCTTTTCAAATGTAAATGACTTTTAAAATCTCTTTTTAATGGTATTCTCCTGCATAAGCGTCCATTGCAAACTAGTTCCAGTTCAATACCGTGATTACGCGGAATATGGCCTATTACAAATGACAAAACCTGAAAACTTCAAGCTAAATTTTTTAAGACTCGGATGATCCATGACATAGCTTCTTTAGTCTAAGAGTAAGTTTTTCAGATATGAACAATGTGGCGCGCAATTTATGCCGGATATAAAACGGGACAGGTATGTTGTTTAACGCCAGTAGAGGTGCTTTTGAATTTTGTTGGGTGTAGGTATAGTCTACCATACCCAATTGTCAAAGACTAATCATAAAATCAACATTAAAAAAAAATGGCACTCGATTACCTCTACTTGCCTCCTTTATCACTCATTTCATCACTCTGTGCTTGGGTAAGATGGCGTAGGAAAATTCTGCGTAAATATAGTACGACCCTCCAAAAAGCAACAACAACAACAAAAACAACAAAAACTGATAAGGGAGACTGTAAGGCGACTGCAGGAAAAAAATCTGACTAGTTTTTCTTTCAAATTAACTACCGAAAGAGAAACAAGACTGACAAAAACGTGGCTGTAAGTTTTTAAAAATATCTTAAAAATCTCAAAAAATTTTAGAATTTTAAAAATCCGACATCGGTATTGATGTTTTCAGAACTGAAATGTGTTCTGAGGTAGACAAACATTTTTCATTACAAACTGTCAGATCTGATGGGGACTCTTTCACGGTGTTAATCCTAATTGTTTGTAGAATAACATCGGTTTATACAGTGCTCACATCCACTTAAATATTTGTATATCCAACTTTCAGACTGATTTGTGTCAAGGTTATTTCAAGCCATTTTCTTCTGGTGGCACATAGTACCTCAAGTCACAGCATGTCAGATTTTTATTTCTCGTCTTTTATATCATTCTGTTTTCATGTGTTCTTCTCGCGTGCTTTTTACTCCTCGTTTTTAGCACGGTATATTTCTCAAAATAAATCTACTTCAATTAAGATTCAGAAAATGTTGACCACAGAGTTTTTATCAGTTGCTGTATTGTAAAAACTTTTGCTGAATTTGAAGGTTTTGAAAGTTGTGAATGATTACCATCGTATATTTAGTAACAAAAACAAAAAGTAAACAAAAACAGCCGTAAGTCAGCGATGTCCTTAGAGCATCAAATCATTTACTGTGGACCACCCAGTCAATTTTAACAAATGTGAAAGAAAATGAAAAATAAATCTACACAAGAAAACAATACATTTAAAAGGTAAAAAACACAGCGTGAGGTCGAAGCAAAAATTAATTTTGCTAGCTCGTGTGGTGTATTATTAAAACACCTGGGAAATCCTTGGTTAAAACTAGTTTTGCTTTTGAATACCTTTCTGTGCAGGTGCAGACTTAACTCATAGGTTCCAAACAAGTCGAACTTAATATTTTGTTTAGAAATTCTGTTAGACGCACGCCGCAAAAGAACTTTAATTTAGATCAGTTAATTTAGTAGCAAAGCTGGCGAAACGAAGCCGCATTTTATATCACTGACGGTTTGATTCAATGGAAACATCGAGTCGG